AGGTGAGGTGCGTCGCCGATTTCGGTGGCCGGCCCGGGTGCCCCGGTGCCCGAGTGCCCAGGGGTGCCTGGGTGCACGGGGGTGCCCGGAGGTGCCCGGGGATGCCCGGGGGTGCCCGGGGGTGCCTGGGTGCCCAGGTGCCCGGGTGCTCTATCGCCCTATAGCCCTATAACCCTATAGCCATATAGCCACGTAGCCCAATAGCCCTATAGCCTTATAGCCCTGTAGCCCTATGGCCCTATAATAGCCCTATAGCCCTACAGACCAATGGCCATATAGCCCAATAGCCCAATAGCCCTAAAGCCCTATAGCCTGATATCCCTATACCCCTGTAGACCCAAAAGCCCTGTAGCCCAGTCGCCCAATAGCCCAATAGCCCATATAGCCCATATAGTCCTATAGCCCTATAGCCTTATAGCCCTACAGCACTACAGCCCTGCAGTCCTGTAGCCCAATAGCCCTATAACCCTAAACCCCGTATAGCCGTATAGTCGTATAGCCCTACAACCTTTTAGCCATGTAGCCCTGTAGCCCCATGGCCCTATAGCCCTATGGATATATAGCCCTATAGTTCTATAGCCCTATAGCCCCACAGCCCTGTAGCCCTAGCCCTCATGGCCGTCATAGCCCTCGCAGACTTCATAAACCTAAGGAGCAAGTACAAAGGGATCTCATATACTATTAAACAATGCTGTGATTGTTTTTTTCTCCGGTGACATGTTATGTCGTGCTGTGATACAGTGCCGCGCCAGTCGCCCACCCAGAGCGCCTGGGATAGAGAATGGTGACCCCCCCCTCTCTCTCGCTGCTGCCATTAGTGTTCATACCAATCTTGAGAGATGGTCTCTTCCCATGCCCTCTGGGCGACAGGCGGTCTAACGAGATGTCTTTATTTCCTCTTCCACCCCTTCTTCCCCTTCGGGGAGGGGCTTACCCCTCCCCCTACCCCCTCCCCTGGACCTGGACCGGGGGGCCGCGAGCGGTCAGGGCGTCCAAGATAGCCTGAGATGGCTCCAAGAGGGCCTCAGAGAGCCCAAGATGGCCTCCCAAATCGCTCAAGATAGCTCAACATGGCTCAATATAGCTAACACCATGCCTCCAAGAGGCCCCAAGAAAACCACAAGACGGATCCAAGTGCTTTTGGAGATCCCTCAGGCCTCAAGGCTTCCCCCAGAAACCAAGATCCTTCAATCACCTACGGAAAACCAATGATTTGGGCCTTATCGCCTTCTCGCTTCCGATTCGCTTTCCAGGCCTCAAGATGGCCCCAAGATGGCCCAAGAGAGGGCCAACAAGAAGGACCCAAGAGGCCCCCAAGACGGCACCAAGAGCGCACAAGATCGCCCCCAGAGGGCCCCAAGAGCGCCCCAATATGCTATTTTGATGGCCCCGGAGGGGGGAGGCAAATCGGGGACCCCCCTCCTTTGATCGATGGCCTCCAAGATGGCCCCAGGAGGCCCTCCGAAGCTCCCAGGAGAGCCCCAAGAGAGCCCCAAGAGGGCCCCAAGAGGGCCCCAAGACGCCCCAAAAGAGCCCCAAGAGGACTCCAAGGACCCCCAAAAAGCCCCAAGAGGGCCCCAAAATGTTCCAAAAGAGCCCCAAGAGGACACCAAGACGCCCCCCAAAAGCCCCATGGCTCCACGAAGGCCTGCGATGCTCCAAGATAGCCTCCAACATGGCTCAACACGCTCCTCCTCCTCCTCCTCCTCCTCCTCCTCCTCCTCCTCCTCCTCCTCCTCCTCCTCCTCCTCCTCCTCCTCCTCCTCCTATCTTTGACCGCTCGGCTTCACCATATGCGTCTCTGCTTTCAATTCCCCGTCAGTTCTCGTGGGCAGGGCTTCTGAGTGGGCTGGCGGGGACTCGCGAAGCGAAACCCAGTATCGGTACTATACAATGCTTTCGTGCGCGGTCAGACCTCGCACGCACACTTCAAGCCCGTGATTCCCAGGAAAGCGAGGAGGAGGGCGGAAAGGGCCATCAGAGGCCTGGACCGCAGTCCCCTCGCAGGGTGACCGCCGCGCGGCGGGCGAGCCCCAGCCCACGGGAGCGCATCGGCCATGAGATCTCTGGTCTCGCCGAATACGCCCCCCAAGATCCTTTAGCTCAGCGATCTGGCCCCTGAGCGTCTCCATGGCGACTGGAAAGGCGAGGATTACTGAACTGATGGATTTCGGTGTGCCGGGACACCGAAATCCATCAGTTCAGTAATCCTCGCCTCCCCAGTCGCCATGGAGATGCTCAAGGGCCAGATCGCTGAACTGAAGGATCTCGGGTTGCGCAGAACATGGCCTTACCTCGCGACTCCAGGAACCCCTGTGTGGCGGCGGCGACCGAGAAGCCCGCATCGCGGGCCAGGAGGAGACAGTCGAGAGTGAAAAGAAAGGCGGTACCACAGGCCTTGGTGGCCACATCCGACCCGTGCACCCACACTGGGCTGCAACCACACCAACACCCAACCCATGGAGCAGATGGGGAACATCAGATGTCTCTGCTCCGAGAGAATTAGCGGCAGCAGTACGCCGAATCGAACATGACGCGCAGGCGATACCACAATCACCAGGTCCAGGACTCACTTGGAATGCGCCTGAGTTCGTCCCTAGTCTCCTGCTGTGTTGGACGGAAGCCAGCACAGCGCCAGACGTCACCCGCTGCGATACGAACTGCCAGCAAAGCCAATGGCATCAGACAGCAGGCGTGCAGGCAGGCTTACAGACAACACTGCAGACAGCACACGTCGTACGTACAGTGCAGCAGCCCCTACTTGTTTCGTCCTGCATGGGGGGCACGCAGATGCGCACCAAGAAGTGGCGCATCGAGGAGGAAGCGGGCCACAGGGTGGCGCTCACAACACACGAGCCCGATAGCATCAGCTACTAGAGTGGCACAGCGAAGCACGGGCCCCACGCCATCCGCTACGAGGGTGGTGTGGAGAAGCACGCACCCGACGCCGACAGCGACGAGGGAGGTGAGGCGAAGCGCGATACCAACGTCGTCAGCTGCTACGGATGAGATCACACGAAGCACAAGCCCGACGCCATCAACTACGAGGGTGACACAACGAAACACGAGTCCGATGCCATCAGCTACGTCGGTGGTGCCGCGAAGCACGCGCCCGACGTCATCAACTACAATGTTGGGGCCAATCCCATCGTGCGAGAAGGGCCGGCAGTGGTGCCAGAGGGTCCGGCAGTTTGCTCGAGAATGGCGGGCAGTGGTGCGAGAAAGGCCGCCCGACGCAATCAGCTACGGGGGCTGCATCGCGAAGCACGAGCCCGACGTCGCCACCTACGAGTGAGGTGACGCGAAGCACGAGCCCGACGACATCAGCTGTCAGGGTTGTAGCGCGAAGCCCAAGCTCGACGTCGTCAGCTACGAGGGCGAGAGCGGGGGCCCCGCAGAGGATGCCAGAGCGGCCGCGACCAGAAAGGCGATCGACGACACGCAGGCCATATACTACCCTATCCTTGAGCAGATCGACACGGAGATGGACTGCATCATCAGCCAGCTGGCAAACTACGGGAGCACGCAAGAGCCTTGGGAATGGGGTCCGAGGTACCACGAAGAGGACGGCTGCGGCCGCAAAGCCAGAGCCCGACGCCATGAACTACGAGAGTAGGGGCGGCAGTGGCAGCTCAGGGGCAGTGGCAGCGGGTCAACTGTGCGAGAGGGGACGGCAGTGGCAGCTCGGCTGTGAGAGACGGGACGGCAGTTGCAGCAGCGGCGCTATGAGAGAAGGGCCGACAATGGCTGGGCCGCTGAAGGGTCTCGACGAGCTCGGGGAGGGCAACGAAGAGCCCGAGGAGGACCGCTATGAGCTATGAGTCGGAGAAGGACGACGATGAGATGACGCTGAATGAGACAAAGGACGATTAGGACATCTCGACGATCTCATCATCCGAAGGGGAGGACCAGCCGGTCACTTAGGGAACCTCGATTACGACGTGGACTGGCGCATCCTCAAAGACCATATGAGACAGGCAAGCACCGTACAGTACAGCAAAGTGCACACAAAGGACGGCGCAGACTACGGCAGGCCGCTCGTGCACGGACGCCCTCGACGAGACGGAGCTCGTGGGCCGCAGAATCCGAGGCAGGTGGTGGGGAAGGTAGTACAAGCTGATGCCAGGAAAGACCGCGCCGGCACGAGGACGCACTTCGTCAGCTACAGCTACACCCCAGACCACCGCGTGCGAGCAGGATGTCAGAACGGCAGCGGCCGCAAGGTGGGACCCTGAGCCCTGGCGATACGGCGGCTGCTGTGGGGATGCTTCACAGCAGTGAGAGAGCGCGAGAGAGAGAGAGAGAATCGGAATCGGAATCGAGCTCTGGGGGCACTAGGTTCGTCTTATCGCGTGAGTTGCCTGGGCAATTCCTGGTGTAAATTCACCAGTTTATAACTTCAGAACAAAAACCTGTCTTCGCCCTGAGGACCTGGCAAGGAACTTCTGGGTGGCCGCTTGTGCAGGCAGGAGCTCTACACGGGCGGTCTGAGGCACCCTCGTTTGCCGACCAAGCTGAGGGGCCTCCCCGCACCACCAAAACCGCGAGAGTTTCTAAAGCAGGAGGGCGAAGCCACCCATCAACCCTGGGAGGTGGGGACACAAAGGCCACTCCCACCAGCCAAGGCACGATAGGCAGTGCGTCTTCCAGCCTGTCCCCTCCCAAAAAATCGCTCAAAAAGTTTCGTGTGGGGTCGGGGGGGGGCGGGTGAGTTTGGCTCCCAGAAGAAGGCTCAGCGGCCTGAGAAACACCGCGGCCACTCACCCTCCCCCCTTTTCCCTTCCCTTTCCTCCGCCGCGTGGGCGGCTGCAGTGCTAAGCTGGCGGCAGCAACACCTGGGTGGCGGAGTGCGGCGTCAAGAGTCACATCGCCACGTTCCACCATCTGTAGTAGTCGATGTGAATACTGCCCAATCTGAACACGCTGGATGGCCGTCAATCGCTGTGGCTGCCGAGGAAGAACTTCCAACTCCACAACGTCATCAACAATCCTGCTCGTGCTCAGCTCTTCTTGGACTGTGTGCCCTCGAGCACCTCGAGAAGCTCCTGAGCTGCGCGCTCCAGCGGGCCCCTGGGGGCTGGCCCGTGCTTCTTGATGCCTCCATTCGCCGCGAGAGCTGCCAAGATCGCCACCTGCACTGCGCCGAACTCCGTGCTCATCGCGATCGTCACCTTCGCGAGGCCTGGTTTCCCGTCCTTCACTTTGGCCGCCTTGCACTTGCAGTACATCACTTTGCCCAAGAGGTCGAGCGGCGTCTTGCCCTCTGCTGCCACTTGCTGGGCCCAGAACTCGGTGAGGCTGTTCGTGTGTGTCTCCTCCAACTGTGGCTCTGTCTTGGACAGTCCAAGCATGAGTCCCGCGAAGATGTGCACGTACGGCGGACCAAGGCGGTCTTGAGCGGCGGGGTCGCCTTTGGCCTTCTTGCTCTCCTCGTGGTATGACTTCCCTCGAGCCATCATCTCGACGGCGATGGGCGACTTGACTTCGACGAGCACCGTGTTCCACAGCATGCCCGTGATCTCTCTGATCTCGGCCGCGTTTGTCAGGCTTAACTTTGTGAGTACGGTGAGCAACTTCTTGACTGTGCTCACGTCCTCTCCCTTTGCCAGCAGATCCTGGATGTGCTTCTTTCGATCTGGTCCCTCGGCGCCTTGAGCTGGTTCGGCCCCGCGCTTCAGTCCCCAAGATGGCGCGGCGACTGCAAAGGGCGGCATACCGATAGCGAGGTGGATGTGTCGGTTCCAACTCTGATAATCCTTTGAATGGAGGTGCGTGACTGCGTAGATGCTCCTGCAGCTGCTCGAAGGTTTGAGCCCGAAAATCGCAAAGATGGCAATCAACACGATCGGGATGATGGCGCTCACCAATATAGCGTGAGCGGTCAAGACAATGTCCACCCCGAGCCACACTGGATAAGAGATGTCTCTGAGCCGTCTTCACGCACGAGAACGTGGTAAGGCAGAAGGGGCAGACATTCGTGGTCCCGATTCTTGTCCACACGTCACGCTGTCCATGTTTAGCCATTCGATGTTGTGTTACAGCCTTATATGTGTCAAAACAAGCCGAGCATTTCGAACCATCTTCCAAGACAAATCCACATTTCCATCCTCCTCCACCCTTATCAGTAGATGCAGTAGTACTAGTTTGAGTGGGTAGCTGGTCTGGATGCCACTCTGGTGGCGGTATGGCTGACATATAAACTCCTTTACGCAATACAGTACAATCTTGATTAGGAAACTCCTCCTTCACCTCCTCATCTGCGAATATCTGCGCCCACCCCGATCGCACACATACCCCGAGATAACCGCCCTCATCATCAAGCCCCTCTACTCCCTCTTGTATATCCTGTCGAAGCTGTAGCGCCCACGGATTCGCATCCTTTTTCAAGTCACCACCAATCGGCGTCGGTGTGTCCTCGAACGAGAAGTGTCCGAGCATGGAGATGAGAATCTGGCCATTCCTCCACTGGTGGGCGATCATGGTCTGATACCTCCGAAGGCGCCGCACCCGCATCTCAAGACTCGCGGGTGCCATTCGCCAATGCTCCAGTACTTGTGCTGTGCTCAGTGCACGATGCTGCTGTCCAGTTGTGGTCTCTCGTATTTCATGGGCTGCTCCTCTCATCGCTCGTCTAGCATAGCGTGCTACCAGATGATCTAATTATATATACTGTTGCTTAGAGCAGATGTAGGCTTCGTTAGAGTGCAGTGCAGTGTTTTGTACACAGCATATAAGAAGTGTGCGCTTCACCCTCCACGGGGTGTGCTTTAAAGACCAAAAAGCTCCTAGCGAGTAGTAAGCTGCCGCCACCGCCTTCTTGCGGTATGTGAATTCTACTGCATAGCTACAGTTAGCACCAATACGTCCCCCTAAATAGCGAGCGTGCGTGCAGTGCGGGGCGGGAAGGGAAACCCTCTTCATGCGAAGCTCGCGCGCGTCGGCCCCCGACCCAGGCCCCGAAAGCACTGGAATGATTTCCTGCTTACTCATGTTTTGCTTGCAGCCGATTTCGGCCAGAGCCAGATCCAGGAGGGCGTTGGCTCGCTCGCTCGACTGAGCAAGGTCCTGAATCCCTCGGTGGGGCCCTCCCAGAAGAAACTTCAAAATATCATCAGCATAGAGACTAAGTGACACATCTACTGCACGATCCAGGAAAGGGCGTTGAGCCACCAACTCCGAAGTAACCAGCCCCTCCGCCTCCAAACGTTTTCCCCAATCCTGGATGGCAGTCTGGAAACTCTGCACAAACTGGCGTACGATATAAGGATCCCCCATCATGCCTCCACAGCCTGGTTTGAAAAAACGGGGGCCCTCCTCGCACTGCAGAGTTACTGCTGCTTCCTCGAATCGCTGGCAGCCAAGACTTGCGAGGCCGTCTTCCATCAGCCCCACCGCAGCGGCACGCATGTCTGCCCACTTCACACTCGCAAAGGCATTCGTGAGGTCGTGAAGGTGAACCAAACCTAAGCGGCCAGCGCGAGGGATACGCCACATCATGATCAGAGAGTTGGCAATTGCATTCTCTTTGCATCTATGTGGCAAAAAACCAAGCACTTGGGGAGGCATCTCGGGGGTCGCAGAGTGAGTGGAGTACCAGCCCTTACCGAGCGGAGGGAGGAGGTGGATAGTACGAAGCCCCGAGGCCGTTCCCCCAAAAGAAGTCCCGTCGGCTTTTTTTGCCCAAGAGACCCCCGTGCTAGAGTGCCAAAAAACAGGTGTACGCATACTGGTTCGAATTCTGAGACAGGCATCTTCCAAAATAGATCTAAAAACTGGCGCGTCCAACTCGGGCTCCGGAGCCCCCAACCCTCGATTCTGATACGAGGCGACCGTGGGTGGGACCAGAAGTATCGCCAAAAGCTCAACAGGCGCGGCCCAGCTAGGGACAGCCTTTCTCTTGGGAGCTCTCAGAGCCCATCTTTCGAGTTTACAAACATCCGACTTGGCTTTTTTTTCTGAACTGCTCGTCTAGCGGGCTGGTTGAATCAGGTGCGAGGTCTTCATGCACTCGAGCTCTGGCAAAGTTGATCCAAGACGGGATCAGGGTCGCCTGCATGCCTCCTTCACAGCCAGGTAGCGAAAGCTGGTCCAGCCATTCCTTCTCCGACGGCGGGGCGACTTGTGCTGCTAGATAAGGTCGACGCTTGGTGCCAAACTTGCTGCCTGCCGCTCGCCTGGCCAAACGATACACATCAAAAAGTTTGCGCTTCCTCCATGCTTCCCACATCTCATTGATAGTCTTCTCTTGAAAGGCCTTCCAGTCCAGAATACGTTCTCGCTTCATGTGGCGCGAAAGGGCTCGCAATTCCTCCGAAACTCGTCGCTCTTCATCTGACTGAGGTGTCAGCTCGGCTGCACTGTGGTCTGGCACTAAGTTATGTGGAGCCTCGTACGCGTTCTGATCGCCAGTTGGGGGCAACCCGATGGCATTTGGCCTGCATCTGATATGAGATTCACCAATTGAAATAACAGCTGGTGCTGTGTGGCCCAGTGCGACTCGTAGGTCTTGGCGCTGGCGTAGCAGTTGTCGACGATGTGCCTGTAGTGCGGTATATCTTTCATCTTCAACTCGCTCAGCCGTAAAAAACTCTTCACCAATCTCCATCATCACGCCTTCAATCTGGGCCCACAGCGGATCGGGGAGCGTGCGGGTCTTCAAGTCTCGCATCAAGTCCTCGTCCTGGGTGAAGCGCTCTTCCACAGCTTGAATAAAATCATCTCGAATCGAATCGCCATGAAAAGGCTTCCAGCATTTTGTCTCGGTACCATCTCGTGCGTGTTGCTTTCGCTTTGTTTGCGGCCGTCCACGTCGGCAGCTGAAACTTGAGGTGTAAAAACATATGGTCTCGGCGAACTCGGGTGCCGATAAGCTGAAGTTGTCTCGACAAGTGGCCCAAGGTGCCCATACTGCTGCATACTAAACTCGTGGGTACACACATGTAGTCAATGAGAGTCTCCACGCCACTCGTTCCATACCAAGTAGATTGTCCATAATCCGCACTGCGAGCTGTCATATAATGGCTCTCCAGTAACTCGCGTAACAATTGTCCAGCCAAGTGCTCTGTCCGCGCCCCGTATTCACTAATGGCCTCCGTCTCAATGTTCGTACTTGCAGGAGGAGGTACCACTCCCATTCCATCATTCAGACCCGTGCATAATATCGGGACGCTTCTGCTCGGGGTCTTGGCCAGGACTTCCGCGATCCAATCAATGAGGCCACGTACTGTACGATCATATTTGGGGCCCTCTGCTTTTGTCTTCACTCGCGGTGGAAAATAGACTCCAATGATGGTAAAGTCGTAGAAGGAAGAGGCGACGCGTACCGCAAGACCACGGCCAGCCAGGGCTGCACCAGGTACAGTAATACTTCGAAGATGTCGCTGCTTGATCTTACATCCGAAGGTCATTGTGATGCCTGCCGAACTGTTAGTGTACTGTCCAGGGCACCAGCCGCCCTCCACCTGCCATCGTGGTCCAAGTCGGCGTTGTTGCACCCGCAGTGTGGCACGCTGAGTGGTGCCCACCAGCGTGACGCAGTCGAAGTTCTCGCACGCCAGGTTGATGTCCTCCTGTCTGTCGCGGCGGGAGGAAGAGAGGGGATTGTAGTGCCCGCATCGCCATACATGAGGTAGCAGCTGAGGCGGCGTTGGGGTCCCCCCCATCTCCCGTGAGCATTTTTCCAATTTGAGCTGCAGGCAGGCTCCCGCGGCCATGATGGCCACCAGCAGCCCATGGTGTGGCATCAGACCTGACAGGTCATGTTATGAAAGGACACTGTGTCGGTCTATGGCCGCCTTCAATGTGCTTCAGCCGTGGCGGCGGCTAGAGAGAGAGAGCGAGGAGGGTGGAGGGAGGATGAGCCTCGGCTGAGGCTGCGCGCCACTCCCAACCAGGGGCGGCCAGCTTCGGGCGGCAGCGAGGCGAGGCAGGAACAGGTGGGAAGGGGGCGCTGGCTGGAGCACACGTCGTTCATTTCTAATCGTGCTCACTTCTAGCTGTGCTCGTCTCTAGTTGTTCCTGGCCCCCTAATTAATGGCCAGGAAGAGGCCCAGGATAGAACAAGTAGAAATGGCAGGATCTTGGCCCCCCGAAAAAGCAAGGAATTTTCGAATACTCAGATATGAAAACAACGAGCAGGGGGGGAGGGGGCCAGGAGGGGCCCTCGACACCCGGCGAGGGCCGTGCCCCCGGCCCCAGCACCCTGCTCCCTCGCCCTCCCCCCCCGCCTCCGCCGCTCGCTCCAGCCGCTCGCTCGCACCTTCCCCCCCCCCGCTCCCCCCTCGCCCATCGCCCCCATGCCCCCCCTCCGACCCCTCCCCCGCTCTCGCCCCTCGGCCTCCTCCCTCCTGCCCTCCTCCCCCCCCTCCTCCGCCCTCCCCCCCCCCCCAACAACCTCCCCCCTCCCCCCCCCCCCCCCGGTCCCCCTCCCAGCAGGTTTACTGGTACCAGCCAGGTCCTCCCGCACGCAGGCCGCCGGCGCGGCGCAGGGCTCCCGGGCCCGCCCGGTGCCCTCGACCTGCGCGGCGCGGGGGGCCTTCGGCGGCGGCCGCGGGGCCGCCCGGCGCGGCCCCGCGCCCGCGGCGTCCATGCCCGGAGAGCGGCCCGCCCGGGCAGGGACTGCGAGCGGGCATCTCGCCCCGGAGCTGGGACGGCCGAGGTCGCGACGGGGTGGGGAGCCAGGCGGGCGGCGGAGGGCGCGTCGCGCGCGCGCGAGCTCGCCTCGAGGACCCTCTCTTTGCTGCTTTTCTCTGGCTCTCTCTCTCTCTCTCTCTCTCTCTCTCTCTCTCCCTCTCGCACTCTTTGCGTACACCTCTCTCTCTCTCTTGCTGTCTCTCTCTCTCTCTCTCTTCATCTCTCCCGTGCCACGTGTGCACAGTCCCCTCCTGGGCCTCCAGAGCTGACCCAAGTCCTCCATCCTCTATCGCTCTGGTGCTGGACGTGCCTCTTCGAAGCAACGTTCACCCGAAATGCTTGATTGACCCGCGCGAGCTGATGCACCCGAGTGGGAACGACACGAAAAAATGGGTACGATGCCAAGCCAAGCATGTTGACTGAAAGACAGCGGCCGCTGCTGGGCAGGCAACCTCTTGCCTCAAACTGACACATTCCACGGCGACACCGAGAGCTGGTATTGGCCTCCCTACCTAATATTCCATATTTCCGCGCACATGTCGATCGTACAGGCTCTGCAGCGTGGTGCTTGAAATGCGTGCGAAGCTGTGCGCGAATGTCCGTGGCCTGTGGCCGCCATGCAAGGCTGGCCCAAGATCTCAGTTCGAGGTCCTTGACCCCACTCCCATAAAAACAACGCTGGTCGCTTAGATCCAACTTTCGGCTTACATCTGACTGCGGGCCTCCAACACTCGGACCACCCCATTATGAAAGCAACCCAGGCCGACTTCCGAGGGCTCCGTCCGCCCCCCCGCCCGCGCTGTCCTCGCAGGGCCGGTCCGTCGGCTGAAATCGCGCGCCTGCCTTGCCTTGCCTGGTCCCCCATGTGTCGGGAGCGGCCAAGAGGGGGGTGTCCAAGAGGGGGGGGGTGCAAATCATGGCCGGCGGTTTGTGCGCGGCCCAGCGGGGGGGCCAGGGACGTAGTGAAACAAGAAGAGGCGCCACGAAATCTGGAGAAATATCATGGCCCCCGCCATGATATCCACCACCACCCCTTAGTCATCACCCCCCTCTTTGCCGCCCCCGACGTGTGGTGGCAGCGGCGGCGGCGCAGAGAAAGCCGGGCCACGTACTGCCATTCGGGGGCTGCACTGCCGCCAGCGCGCCCGCGAGCGTACCACCAGCAGTGCCCAGCGCGGTCCAGCCACCCGGCCGGCGCAGCCCTGCGCAGCGCAGCCTCCTCACTCTCTGGGAGCTGACTGCCTAGCAGACCACCTCAACCCAACCCGAAGACCCGAATTTCGGGTTGTGGGGGGGTACTCCCCGAGCGTTGACCTAAGGAACCCTAAATAAGGAACGAGGCCCCTTTTTACCATAAGTTAAACTTCGATTTCCTATCGGAAACATAAGGAAAACCTGAGGCAAGCTGTGAAACACTTAAGGAACGCGGAGCCTCTCCCCAACGAAAAGGGTTCCTTCTTCAGGGCCCCGACTGTACGGGTTCCATATGTGTTTTCTCAATGTTCCCCGACCCCCCCCCACTGGAAATGGAGGGCAAATTGAGGCCTTCGGGTTGGGTTGGGGTGGCTTGGTGGGTGGTGAAGAGCTGCTCTGAGACGGCACGACGTGTCTCTGTTTTTCAAAAGCGGCGGTGGTGGTCATGGAGACGACCAGTGATGAAGTGCGATGGACGGTGGTGGTGGTGGATGCAAACGGATGGTGATGGCGATAGAGAATGGCGGATGGTTAAGAGATCCTGAACCGCGTGGTGTCAAAAGGTCTTCTGTTCGCGAAGCTACGAGAACCTCCAAAATCTCTCCGCGTTTTCTGATCCACTCCTGTCGCCGCGCAACGAGGAGGAGGCTAGGGAGGAGAAGGCCGAGGAAAATGATGGGAGATGGAAGCGTGGCGGGAAGAGGACGACAAGGGGCTGGCGTAACCGCATCCTGCGGGAAGGAATCCTCAACAGCCAGGCCGCCACGTTTGCCAATTATGCTGAGCTCGCCGACAAGATGCCGACGGGGATACTCTCCCGACCCTGTTTGCACCCAAGGGTTCTTGCTTGTCTATTGCGATTCCACGACGTCAATACCAGGTCCCGCTTGCCTTCGCTGATGCGACTCGCCGGCGCCGAAAGGGAATCCCACTTGCATTGGCTGTTGCGATTCCCCTGCCGCCGCTCTGAAGGTCTTGGGTCCCGCTCGCACTTGATATTGCAAGTCGCCGTCGTCGCACCTGGGTCCAGCTTGTGATGGCTGTTGTCATTGCTGTTGTGATTCACCGTCGTCTCCCTGGGTATAGATAGCTCGGGAGCGTTTGAAGACGCCCCATGAGGACCTCAGGACGGCCGAAGGGGGCCTTCCGTGGAGGCCCCCAAGAAAGCCTACGAAATCCGAAGAGAGCCCCAGAAGAGCTCCGGGAGAACAAAAGTCAACCAAAACGTACTCCGAAATACGCGGAATCCCAAAAGGTGAGTATGTGGCATCTACTTGGTGCCATCTTTACGGGGCATTCCTGAGGAAACAACTTCATATGCTCCATGCGCTCACGTGTGTACGGACCCGAACGGCTACAGCAGGCTCTCAATATGGCTCAAGAGGGTTAACCATTAGGCACAAAGCAGGTTCAATGACGCCACATAATCATCGCATCACCATCAGTGTATCACCTCATCCTGCAGATCTTTGTCGTCGTCGTCGTCCCCTTCCACCTCGTCCTGAAGGAATGTTCCCTGGCTGTGCGGTGATAGTTGAGACCAATCACCGCACAATCTGTCGACTACGCCTCATCTCCAACGTCGGCGCCTTATTCAATGGCAACGTCTTCATCGTACGCTTCATTGTCATTGTCGCCATCGTCATGCGAATCCATCCAGATCTGATTGTCATTGCTAACGCCGTCATCTTAATTACTATCACAGATAGCATCGTCATCGTCACCACTGCGGAAGCCAACACTAAACACTACGTCATCTCCCTCATCCTAAACAATATGAACTTCATTGTCTTTCTCATCGTCAACACTGTCAACATCACATGAACCGTGAACACCGACTACGACCTCGGGTGCTAGTCAGGCCCGTACCATGGAGGGCCTAGCGAACCCGAGTGATAGGACAACGCACTCATGCACGAACCGATTACCACAATCGGGAAGACCTGACCTGATTGCAAGACGACGTCGCTTTCAAGCAGACTCGCAACGGACCCTGCCTCTGTTTTGGTCGGGACGTGGTGCCACGAAACGCTGTGGACGAACATTAAGCTGCTTTGTGATAGTGATATGATAGCCCACTGAAGCGGCGTGCTGACAACAGGCGTCAGTCCCTGCGGAGAAGGGCGCCGATGCAATAGATAGGCCTCGCAGGGCACGAGAGGCCCAAGCATGCCAGGCCCACGACACGAGGAACTTGGCAGAGGCTGGCGGCAAGAAGAGAAAGGCGTGGAGCCCAGAGAATCTGCTTGGAGCACAGAGAATCGGCACAAGCCACGACACACACACTGGAAGCCACGACAGGCATCGTTAAGACGAAGCCGGGATCGGGGCAAAATTTGACCGGGATAAAAATCATGCTCGGTTTTTCAAATCACCAGGGCGCCGCCGAACGGGCCTGCCACGCCTTGGGCACCATCGGCTTCGCGAGGGAGGGAATGCGCCCCGGCGCGGATGAGGCCACGGCGCGTGTTTGGCCACCCGCGCGCCCGAGGGAATTCAGCGCCAAGCGCCTTTCACTCCAGAAGACCCGACGTCAACAAAACAAACTTGAGGCCCCAAGGGGGCCCCAAAGAGGCGGACCGCCAAAACAATCACGCAACCAACGCAACGAAAAAAACGTGTAAATCTCAAACAAGCGCAATACTCAGTGACCTCTTCGGCCACGCAACGCCGCGAGAATGCCCAAGAAGACATTGGAAAGAGAGCCCGCGAGCGGCCTGGCGACTTCCCCGCGCCGCCCCAAAGTTCCCGAAGCGCGCCGAAATAACCGTAGAGGAAACCCCGGAAAGTCTTTGGAAGGCCCCCGCATCATGCAATATCCGCCACCGAATAATCTCGCGGACACCTAGCGCGTACGCGCGGGCGTCCACCATGGATGCCCAACTCCGGTTTCGGAGACAATCGCGCGCAACCGCCCGGGGGCTTCGGCAACCTCGCGATTGGCCCAGGGGCCCGCGGGCCCCAGGGAATCGAGGACCGAGTTCGCAACTCCGTAAGCATCGGGCGCGGCGCCAGCCAATCGCTCGTCTCTGGCTGACAATGGGACGCCTGGAGATCCGGTAAAACCTGAGGAACCGCTTTTCGGAGATTCACAGAACCAGAAAACGGGGCGCGCCAAATTCTCGCGTCCGAACTTCTCTGAGAATCTCTGAAAATCTCTGAATTAGACACCCTGCGTGAAACATTCCCATAAACCCAAAACCTCGGAGCTGGCCGAAACTCTCTGAGAGTTTTTCGGTCCGCGAAATTTGGCGCGCCCGGATTTCCCGTTCCGAGATTCTCTGAAATCGGCCTGCGGCGGCGCCCAGCAAGTCCTCACGTGCCGAGGGTAGGGGCCGTGGACGTCGCAGGCCGGGATGGTCCCGACCACGAGGTCCTTCCTCCTGCCCCTCGACGAGTCCACGCTCATGGACACGCTCTCTGCGCTAAGCGTGGACCGCGCCATCCGCCGGTACTTCTGCGCGACGACAGCCAACTGGCCGCCGACGGACAAGGCGATTCTTTTCCGAGCTGCGCGTGCCACCGACAACGTACAATAGGCCCGGGCTCGGGGACAAACACTTTCGAAGCATTTTCAGGCCGCCAGCGTCGTGGCTGCCGACCCGCCGCGCGCCGACCGCGACACTAGCTGGGCCCGCTACGTCCACGGCGGCGGGCGAGCGCCCAAGAGAGCTGTCGCGACGGTGCGCGCGGCGGGGCGCCCGTCCCACTGCAACCGCACATGCGGCCTCCATGGCGCCACAGGCGTAATATGTGCGACGCACTCTCGGGCACCGCATCAACGCATCGGCCAGCGCCCAAGCCCCTGAAACGCAAACCTACTGCGCCCCCCGTGCAAGCCGCGCACCCGCTCCCAATGCTCGTGCACACCAGCTTTTCTGCCCGCCCTCAACAGTTTAATTGAGCGCCCATGCGTTACTTGGGCTCCTCAAGCCCTCGAAAAGTCCTTGGGGAACTTCTGCGACTGCGCGCGCTGCGCTCCACAATTGGGCGTTCTATTTTTCTTTGGAACTCTCCCAGAATCTCTGGTTCCGATTTGTCCCGATCTTCCGCTCAACTGAATCGTGCCCGTCGCGAACTCTCACGGCCGAGCCTGCGAGCCCCCCCGGGCCTCCCCCGTCGGCCGCCAGGTCCTGCTCCAGCAGCCACCCCGGCAGCCCCCGCAAGGCCCCCTCGCGGGCCGCTGGAGGCAGCCGTGCCCACGCGGCCTGCAGCAGCGAACGCGGGCCGGCCCAGAGGGGTGCGTCCGCCCCGGGCAGGGCCGTGGAACGACTTGAGGGGAGAGGCGAGGCGAGGAGGCGGGAGGGAGGGAGGGACGGGGGGTTTAGAGGGAGGGGGTGGAATGGAAAGAGTGAAGGGAGGGAGGGGACGAAGGCGAGGGAACGGAGCGAGGAAGGGAGGGGGAGGGAGTGAAGGGGGGGAGAGGGGAGGGGAGTGAGCAATGGGGAAGGACGGAGGATGACGCCGGTGTCGACAAGCGAGGAGGATGACGTGGAATCAGTATCAGTACATAAGGAAAAGCTCCCATTCCGCCCAACATCAGTGGAAAGCATGCGCACGCCGACATGATGACAAAGACATGCTGCGGCAATATTCGCCGTCGAAAAACGATGTTTGGTGGATGTCGGAATCAACCTCAAGCGCGACCTGGTTGCGCCAACACAAATAGTGTACGCAACTTGTCTCGTGCACCATTTTCGAATTCGTGTCGGGGTTCTGCATGGCGATGAGGGGCGAAACCATGTGCACTGGCCCTGATTTCGGGGGCCACCAGCTTGCGCGGGCGAGGGTTCTGCAAATGAGCAGGCGAATCCTCACCAATGCAGTTGTCAAATCATGTCATGTGCTTGCAATCGCGCAGTCTGAAATGATGGTTCAGGCCCAAAGTCTCGAAATTGCTCAAGAACTCAATTTCATTATACCCTAGCAGGCGACCCTCTTCCCACCCGCGGCTGGGACGTTGCGTTTCTACATCCCCTGAACCACGTCATCAAACATTGGAATATGTAACTGGCATTGGGCACGAAATCCGCGCACTAAAGGCCAAAACCGATCGACACCTCGTAGAGCAAACTGCGGTTCCGCGCTACCGAAGCCACGAGTCCTTGTTCTCACGCTACCAACGGAGCCTGCGGAATAACATGTCATTCATTATGTAGCTTGCGCGTTGATATCTTACGAACACTCTGCTAGAACACGCGAGAAAAAAAAGCCCCCCCCCACCCTTGCCACGCCTTGGGAGCGTGGGGCCCGGCAGTCTGAGCGTGAGAAGTCTGCGCCTATTTCGCTGGAAGCCGAATCCCGACTTTCCAATACTCGCTGGGATGTACGCCGTATCGCAGCAGAAGTCGCACGGGATGCAGCTGTCGCACGTAAACAAATACCACCACCACAGCTGCAATATACTTCCGAGGGCTGGCGCAGGAGACAAGCGAAATCGGATTCGGACAGTTGCGCGGTCACAACACCACCCGAGATCGGGGCACCATTGACGCTAGTATTTCGCAATCGGTGACCCTGGTGCGCTGTGGGGCATCTTGCTTTGGTGTCCAGCAAAACACATCTGCATCAACTGTCAATCCGATGCCTTGCTGCAAGCCGCATTGGTCCAAATGCGAGCGTCACCGAGGCATCTGGCCGAGCGTGAACACAAAACACACGGTCGTGATGAGTTCTGCTGCCCACAACCAGCGCACCGCGTGTACGACACGACAACGCACTGGTCCCTTGCGCCTGCGTGCTCAACACGTGCATTGAGCCTGGAGCGGAGGGATGATATGGAAGAGCACCGAAGGCACATGCGGGGGAAGATATTGAGGAAGAGCCAGAGGGTCCTGCCCCCCCCGACCGGACAGCCTGAATCAACGACTCGCCTGAGAGCGTCGGGTGCGGCCCCTGCAGTGCGATGATCTCGGGCTCCACATCCACCTGCGAGCTGCGAGCAACGAGGCGCAAGACAACTTCCAGACCACCGAACTGAAGGCTTCGCTTTACACGCCGACCCTCAAGCCAGGCCGAGACAGCCGAGAGACATGCGGCTAACCGATCAACGTCGCGCACATTCGTCATTACTTACGCGGGTGGGGGGCGGGACATTCTCAACGGGGTTTGCCTCCACGCGGCCCATGTTGGTCTCCACGACTTCACACAATTGCTCTGACGTGTGGCGGTTCCTCCTCGAAGTGGGGTTCTCAAATTGTCATGTTCAATGGCGGTTCCTCTTCCAACCTGTGCTCTCGTTGTGCACCTGCTGGGACCTCATGATCACCCCCTGGGATCTTCACACATGGAAAGATGGAGGGACCGGTTTCTTTTCCAGGCGAGGCTCCCGCCCGAATTGCATGCCCGAGGGGCGCTCGTCTTTCAAAGGGTCGTTCGCCGTATTACGAGACCTATGTTGCTTCACATCAGCAATTTGGCCCCTGCTGACTTTTTTTCAAAATAATATATTGGGATGAAACGCTGCCGCTGGATATATCGAGCACAGTTGATCACAACACAAACGCTCCTGCGATCCCCGCCAAAATGGCAAGAAATGGTAAGCTCAGATCCGCATGGCTACATTGCAACCGAACCGCTTGACCACCATCTCGACCGAACTGGCGGAATTCGACCACGCGTCCGACAAAATACGTTCGACGAGGGATGCGCTGCACAATGCCCCGGCCACGGGCAGCGCTACGAGGGAAAGCGGGCCCTTCGATGTGTCACTTTCAGCGCCCGTGAAAGTGACACCTCCCAGGGCCCACTTAAAGAGCACCAGAAAGGCTCCAAGAAGGCCCCGAGAAGGCCCCAGGGCGGCACCAAGAGGGCTCCCAGAGGGACCCAAGAGAGGCCCCAAGAAGGGCCCAAGAGGGCCCTCCGCGGTGTCACTTTCAACGCCCGTGAAAATGACACCTCCCAGGGCCCACTTAGGGCCTCAGAAAAGCTCTAAGAAGGCCCCGAAAGGGCCATAGAGAGCCGCCCTGGGTTCAACTCCGCGTGGCGGAGTTGGAAGCGATAACTTCAATACCCTACTGGAGGCCTCTTAGGGGCCCTAAGACGGCACTGAAGAACCCCATCGGGGCTTTTTCAAAGGCAGAGGAGGGCGCAAAAAGGGGCCTCAGTGAGCCCCTGGTCTAACTCCACCTGGCGTAATTGGAAGCGATATCGCCCGGCGCCTTCATGGAGCCGTTCGGAGCTTCCAAGACGGCTCCAGAAGGCCCCAGGAGGGCCCCAAGAGGATCGAACGACGATTCCTGGAAGTGCACCAGTGAGACCCTTGTTGACCTCCGCCTGGCGGAGTTGGAAGCGACAATTTCCAGTGCCCTCTTTGGGCCTCTGGGGGGCCCCTCAGAAAGCTTTGGGGAGCACAGTGAAGGCCTTCGCAGGGCCGCGTGAGAGCCGTACCAGGGCCGCATGTGTGCGCGGATGGGGGCGACGAGTGCTGACGCTGACGAATATGAGAATGATGAGGGCGATCAAGGCTGGCCCGAAACAAATCCTGGCGCCATTGCAGGCCGCCGATTATCGGCCACGCCGCCAGGACGACGCCAAGCAACAAAACGACACCAACCAACAAACCGACACCAACCAACAAACCAACAAATCGACACCGGCCAACAAAAGGACACCAAGCAACAAAACGACACCAAGCAACAAAACGACACCAACCAACGAAACGACACCAACCAACAAAACGGCACGAATCAACAAAACGGCACTGACCAACCAAACGACAAATCACTTCACGACACCAATGAACAACGCGAAATCCACCGACCGCCAACCAAGCATAAAATCAACCGACACAACGAAACCAACCCATAGAGCCAGACCAACCACTGGATTCGTGAGTCGGGGTAGTCATGGAAGTGAGCCGCTGCAGCCCGCGGAAGCCATTAACAGTGACCAGAGCACCGCAATGCAGCAACGTCCCCGGGCGGCGGCGGGAGTCTTGGATCTCCCGCGGGACTGGAGCGTAGCGAGTTCGTCCTGGGTCCGGTTTAGTGAAGTGAAGAATTTCGGGGTGCTTGCATGGCAAAAACCTTCACTTCACTAATCTGGGGCCCCTGGAGCCCCAGGGCGTTTCAGGTCCCCTCGCTGTCTGGGTAGTCCAGGGGGCGCAGTGGCGGCTTACCAGAGGCCCTGTTCCCTAGCCTCACTTGCTTTCACCCGTGGTGCTCGACGGCCGTCTCGGAGCTGTCTTGTGGCGGTCTGGGGCAATCCCGAAGCCTCTTGGAGCCATCCCAAGGCCCCAAGGCGCCACCAATGGGGGCCCCAAGAGAGCTCCCAGAGGGCCCCGAAAGGCCTACAACAGATTGCACGTTCGCGCGAATTCTTTGTACCACTTTGGGGGGTCCCTCTTGGGGCCCTCGGGGAACGTTCTTGGGGCCCTCCGAGGGCCCACTGGGGCCCCGGGAAGGCCCCAAGAACGCTCCCAGAGGGCCCCAAGAATGCTCCAAGAGGGCCCCAAGAGGACCCCCACAAGTGACAAAAACTATTTGCATGAGGGTGCAACTTACTCGGCGCCTCTTGGGGCGCTCTTGGAGCCGTGCTGGGCGCCACTCGTGGACGACATGGGCTGGGCGACGGCATGTGGACCCTGTCGCTTGGGCCATCGGGGGTGCTCCCCAATGGGGCCACGAAGCCTGTGAGCGTATGACGGAATGGGCTGGGCGGCGGCCTGTGGGCCCTGCCTGTGGGGCCGTCGGTGTAGCTCCCCGTGGGGCCACGAAGCGTGTGAAACGTATGCCGAAATATGCTGGGCGGCGGCCTGGGAAACCTGCCGCTGGGACCTTTTTTTGGTGGAGCTGCCTATAGGGGCACGAAATGTTTGAGGGTATCATCAATGTGGCCTGGGCGACGGCATGTGGACCTTGCCGCCGGGACCTCCGATGAGCTCCTCATGGGGACACGAAGCGTCTGAGGGGCGTGCCGACATGGGCTGGGCGGCGCACTAAGGACCCTGCCGATGGGGCCTTCGGTGGAGCACCTCACAAGGCCACGAGACTTGCGGGGGATGTGGCGAAGCAGAGACGCGGGGGAACAAGGGGGGTGTTTTGATGATGTTGATGAGGATGGTGGTGGTATTGATGGTGGAGACGGCGAGAATGCTGATGATGCTGATGATGATGGTGATGGCGACGATGACGATGGACGATGACGACGGAGACACGCGGAGAGCAGGGGCAGATACGCGAAGAGGGAGGACGAGGGAGGGGGCCGGAAGGAATGACGCGGGGCGGTGTCTCTTCAAAACGAAGAACCAACACTGCAATATGGTAGGAAATTTCTGGACGACCCCCCCCCGTGGCGCGGTCAATGTCCGCGACAGCATCGCTGGCACTACGAACGAAATGATCGAACTCTTCCTGCGACGTTACCCGCGGGGTGGATCAGCCAGGGATGGGGGTCGAAACCGCCCGAGCGCAAAGCAAATGTACAATCCTGAGAAACCCCATCCCACATCAACCGATCCGCAACACGCACGCAAGCCTTTGACGACCCCAACGCACGTGACATCGCATAACGCGACGCGCCATCGAAAACGTTCGACGCGCGGCCTCGGAATGACATCGGGCTTCATGGAACGTCGAATGGAAAACATGAAAACCGCCCTGTGGGCTCCGAGACCACAAATTACTGATGTGAAGGATTTCGGCTCGTCGATATGGAGAGGACTGACTGCAGGGACTCATGACGATGGGACTTGGGGCGGGATGGCGTGCTGCAGCACCGTTGATGCATGTTGGATGTACCATGGTCCTCCTCCTCTCCCGTCCTCCTCCGCCTTCTCCGTCTCCCTCCTCCCAGCACCATCATCCGCCCTCCTCGTTCGTCGTCTGCCGCTCCTCCGTCCGCCACCAAAGGAACTTCCGAGGCACACATTGCGGGTTAGGTCATATAGTGGAGATGCAACACATGAACATGGTCGTGATGCAGCTTGCCAGTTCGCGCGCGTGCTGCAGTGCTGCACTGATACGACAATGGCAACACGTGAACGTGTCATCCGAAAACATTTTTTGCTCAAGGGGGAAATCAGTGGACGTGGCGTCGTTGCTGCTTTTTGTGGGCCCTGGTGCCCGAAGCGGGCCAGCAAGGTGCCCGAGCACAGAGAATGCGGGTGCCCTTCTTCCCAAAAATCATGTGGTTATGTGACCTCGTTTTCAAAAGACAGCGCCCCGCGTCCTTCCCTCGCGCTGCCCCGTCCTCCCTCTTCCCAGCCTTGCTTCCACCCTCCGCACGGCTAACCCCTCACACGTTTCGTGGCCCCTTGGGAAACTTTACCAAAGACCCGAATGGCTGCGCTCGCATGCCGCCACCTCACCGTTCCGGCACACTCCACACACGCTTCGTCGCCCCTTCGGGGGCTTCAAGGAAGGCCAACGTGGCTGCGTTGGCATACCACCTCACCATGTCGGCACACCCCGCACACGCTGCGTGGCCCCGTAGGAAGCTCCACCAAAGGCCCCAGAGCCTGTGTCCGCATGCCGCTACCTCACAATGTCAGCACACTCACCTTAGATGTTTTGTGGCCCATGTTGGAGCTTCGACGATGGCCCAGAGCCTGCGTTCGCATGCCGCCACCTCACCATGCTGGCACACTCATGACACACTTCGTGGCCCCATAGGCAGCTCCAACGATGGCCTCAATGGCTGCGTTCGCATGCTGCCACTTCGCCACGTCGGCAAACCCCCCTGACACTCTCCGTGGGCTCGTATGGAGCTCCACGTTTCGAGGCCCCTTGTGGAGCTCCACAGAAGGCCAACGTGGCTGCGTTCGCATGCCGCCACCTCACCATTTCGGCACACCACTCACACGCTTATGGAGCTCCACCGCGGGCCAACGTAGCTTCGCTAGCATGCCGCCACCTCACCATGTCGGCACAAGGAAGGCCGCAGAACCTGCGTTACATGCAGAAGCCTCACGATGCCGGCACACCCCCGACACGCTTCGTGGCCATATAGGGAGCTCCACCGAAGACCAACGTGGCTGCGCACGCATGCCGCCACCTGATCAGTTCGGCGCTCCCCTCATAAGTCTCGAGGCACCACAAAGGGGCTCCACCGAAGGCCAACGTGGCTGCGTTCGCACGACGCCACCTCATCATGTCGGCACACCCATGACACGTTCCGTGGCCCGAACGTGTGCTCCACCGAAGGATAAATTGACTGCGCTCGCATGCCGCCGCCTCACCATCTTGGCACACCCCGCATACGTGTGGCCCCGCACACGTGTTGTGGCCCCAGAGCCTACGTCCGCATGCTGCCAGCTCGCCAAGTCGACACACTCACGTCACACGATTCTTGGCCCCTTTTGGAGCCTCAACCAAGGCCGCAGAGGCTGCGGTCCATGCAGCCACCTCATGATGCCGGCACACCCATGACACGTTTGGAGGCCCCTTGGGGAGCTCCACCGAATGCTAAAAAATTGGTTCATGCCGCCACCTCACCATTTCGGCACACCACTCACACGATTCGAGGCCGCACAGAGAGCTAGCTCCACGGAAGGCCAACTTGGCTACGTTCGCAGGCTGCCACATGCTGCAACCTCATCATGTGGCCTCACTCACCTCACCTCACGCGTTTCGTCGCCCCTTCGGGAGCTTCAGCGAAGGCCGCAGAGGCTGCAATCACATGCCCCCACCTCACAATGTCAGCACAGTCCTCACACGCTGCGTGGCCCCGTAGGGAGCTCCAAAAAAGGCTAAAGTGGTTGCGTTCACATGCTACCACCTCGGAATGTTGGCAAAACCATCACACTCTTCGTGGCCCCATAGGCAGCTCCACCGAAGACCTCAATGGCTGCGTCAGCATGCTACCACCTCGCCATTTCGGCACAAAACCTGACACTCTGCGTGGAACCATATGGAACTCCACCAGAGGCTAACGTCGCTGCGTTCGCATGCCGCCACCTCGCCATTTCGGCACACCCCTCACACGATTCGTGTCCCCATGGAAGCTCCACCAAGGGCCCCAGAGGCTGCGACCGCATACCGGCACCTCGCCATTCCGGCACACCCCTCACACGCTTCGTGGCTCCGTAGGGAGCTTCACCGAAGGCCAAAGTGGATGCGTTCGCATGCCGCCACCCCAGCATGCACACCCCGCACATGTTTCGTGGCGGTCCTGGAGATGACTCCAGGGGCAGGGTTCGCATGCGGGCCCGCGTACATGCCCTTTTTGTCCCCCCTCCTTCCTCTTCTCACCAGCTTTGCGATGCTCGGAGCTGCAAATGATTGTGCCCTTCGCCATGATCAATTGCTTCGCTATTGTGTGTTGTGTGTGTGTGCGTGTGTGTGCGTGTGCGTGTGCGTGTGCGTGTGCGTGTGCGTGTGCGTGTGCGTGTGCGTGTGCGTGCGCGTGCGCGTGCGCGTGCGTGCGCGTGCGCGTGCGCGTGCGCGTGCGCGTGCGCGTGTGCGCGTGCGCGCGTGCGCGTGCGCGTGTGCGTGTGCGCGTGTGCGCGTGTGTGCGCGTGTGCGCGTGTGCGCGCGTGTGCGCGTGTGCGCGTGTGCGCGTGTGCGCGTGTGCGCGTGTGCGCGTGTGCGCGTGTGCGCGTGTGCGCGTGTGCGCGTGTGCGCGTGTGCGCGTGTGCGCGTGTGCGCGTGTGCGCGTGTGCGCGTGTGCGCGTGTGCGCGTGTGCGCGTGTGCGCGTGTGCGCGTGTGCGCGTGTGCGCGTGTGCGCGTGTGCGCGTGTGCGCGTGCGCGTGTGCGCGTGTGTGCGCGTGTGCGCGTGTGCGCGTGTGCGCGTGTGCGCGTGTGCGCGTGTGCGCGTGTGCGCGTGTGCGCGTGTGCGCGTGTGCGCGTGTGCGCGTGTGCGCGTGTGCGCGTGTGCGCGTGTGCGCGTGTGCGCGTGTGTGCGCGTGTGCGCGTGTGCGCGTGTGCGCGTGTGCGCGTGTGCGCGTGTGCGCGCGTGTGCGCGTGTGCGCGTGTGCGCGTGTGCGCGTGCGTGTGCGCGTGTGCGCGTGTGTGCGCGTGTGTGTGTGTGTGTGTGTGTGTGTGTGGTGTGCGCGTGTGCGTGTGTGTGTGTGTGTGTGTGTGTGCGTGTGTGTGTGTGTGCGTGTGTGTGTGTGTGTGTGCGTGCGTGCGTGCGTGCGTGCGTGCGTGCGTGCGTGCGTGCGTGCGTGCGTGTGTGTGTGTGTGTGAATGTGTGTGTGTGTGCGTGCGTGTGTGTGTGTGTGTGCGCTTTGCCCCAAGACGCCCGAGGGGTGGCCGAACCTCGACAGAACGCTGACGCCGAGAACTCTCGTCCGGCCACCCGCGCGCCTCTCGCCAGGCGCGCCTCCAGCCGCCCGCTCGTAGACTCGCCGCCATCGCGCCAGGCTCCATTCCGAACCTGCGCCCCACCAGCAGGAGGGCGAGGACGGACAGAGGAGAAAGGAGAAGCTGTGATGAAAGGTGAGGCGGGAAGAGGGAGGAGGAGGAGGAGGAGGAGGAGGAGGAGGAGGAGGAAGAGGAAGAGGAAGAGGAGGAGGAGGAGGAGACGGAGGAGGAGGAGGAGGAGGAAGAGACGGAGGAGGAGGAAGATGACGATGTGGTCTGGTGGCTCGCACAACACGGCCGCGCTCCCGTCTCCTCCTTCTTCCTGTGTCTCCCTTCCCTCTCTTCACGAATATACAATGAATACTTCTCTCCCTTTCTCCCTCCCGAAGCTGGTGAAAAAATAGCCTGCCCCCCCCGATCCCTCTCCGCGTAAGGTTTTTACATATATTAATCAATGTGTTGGGTCTTTCCTACATGTGTATCCAATCTGGCGCTTTGGCTTCCCCTCAGCGTGTAGCTTCTTGTTTTACACACGTCGTGTGCACTCAGTGTGCCAAACGTACTGGGGACAAATAACCAATCCATATATATATATATATATATATATATATATCAACGCGTATTGTTCAACACAAGGGGGTACTTTACTGCCGGAGAACTACAGGCCCATATCCTAGCTTCCAGTTTCGCACACGTGCTTGCAGCACTACTGCACCGAAGACTGTTGAAAAGCGGAGCGGAAAGTCGACTACTAAACTCTCAGTACTGATTCAGACTACGGATGGGCTGCACAACTTGCGATCGTGCTGATCAGGCGCATCATCGACAGAGCAATCCAAAACGCGAATGGCGGTATATCTCTTGTACTGTTGGACTGAGCCGAAGCACTCGACAGGATCAAGCCTGACTGTATGTGCAACGTTTTGGGCCGACTTGTTCCACCCTATATGGTGGCAGTGATGCGATCAATGCGACCTATATGGTGGATCATGCGGGCTCTTTCACGGAAAGGCAACAGCGGACGGGCATAGCGCAAGAGTGTCAATTATCGACGCTGTTGCTTATCCTCCTCCAGAGCGTATGTTGCATGACGTCTTTCGCCGCAACATTGAAATAATAGGATATCCCGCATGTGGTGACGCGCGATACACAGAAGGCTGGCGATACACTTCAACTCTCAACACAAACACAATTCAAATTGTGCGACTTTGTCAACTAAAACAGGAAGGAAGACATCAGGATTGAAACATCATTGGGGCAACACGTTACATTCACAAAGTACCACAGGCAATATGATATCGCGGCCAAGCGGCGGCGTACTCGAATCCGCTCGCGAAGCTGCTCATCTAAGAGGACGGACTACGTGCGACGGGTAAGTGGCTACTGAATTGACGCGGACACGATGATAAGATACTAAACTGATCCTGGAAGAGGACCCGACCATCTGCAATTGTGAATGCAACAAGGTGGGTTGGACGAAGGAGGGGGCGTTTCATGAATAAGGACACGAAACGCGTGAGGTTATGCCGACATGGGCGGGGGGGCGCATGTTGACACCGCCGCCAACGCCTTCGGCGGAGTTCCCTATGGGGAGGCGACAAAAACGCTGCACTGAGTGGGGCGGCCACTGGGGCCTTCGGGGGGCTCCCTATGAAGCCGCGAATCGCTGTGCTGGATGGCGCGGGCACAGCCACTGGGGCCTTCGGTGAACCTCCTAGAAGCGCTGTGGTGGACGGCGCGGACGCATGTGATCACAGCTACTGGTGCCTTCGGTGGAGCTCCCTGTGTGGCCACGAAGCGCTGTACTGGGTGGCGCGGACGCATGTGATCACAGCATCTTGGGCCTTCGGTGAAGTTCCCTATGTTGCCGCGAAACGCTGAATTCGTGGGCGCGGACGCATGTGATCACAACCAGTGGGGCCTTCGGTGGAGCTCCCTATGGGGCCGCGAAGCGCTGTATTCTCGGGCGCGGACGCATGTGATCACAGCCGCTGGGCCATCGGTGGGGTTCCACATGTGGCCACATGTTCTCAGGCGCGGCCAAAAGATGGTTGAGCGCCTCGGCTGCTTGCTGCGCTTTGGCGTCACCAACCGCAATATCAGAATCGACTCGCCGTGGTGGCTGAGGGGTGTGGCGTGCCAGGCAACGACGGCGCCGCCGATCAACAAGTACGCGTCGCCTGCGATCCGAAACACGCGGCAGCCGCATGAGAAGGCGCCAGCATAGAAGGTCAGCGAAAACGCGCCGGCTCAAGGAAGGCAGAGATCCAGTGCAGCGCAGGCGAGATCTACTTGACCCAGATGCAGTTGTGCGGCGCCCTGGAAGTGGCGCCGAAGTCAAAGGATTGAATCGCCACCCCCACACAGCTCTGACAATAATGGCTGCCAGATGTGCACGGAGTTGGCGAAATGGCGAGCCAGACCTGCCAGCTTCCGAACGCGCCTGATCGGAGCGACGTTCGAACGCAGCCCGTCGTCGACCAGCGCCATGAGCCCGGTCAGCTTCGCAACAGATCACCAACGTCGGAGAACGCAATCTGCGGCCCAAACACCAATCCCGGGGAAGCCCGAGAGCCACGGGGAAGCCCGAGAGCCAGCGGGCGAGGACAATGATGGGTGCCCGCCAGCCCCGCCCCCGCTGGTCGCCGCCGATTGCGTTGCAGGGGTCGCCCACGCGCAGCTCGCCGCGGGAGCGCGGGCGCGCCCGCGCCACGAACCCGCTTCACGCGCCCCGGGCGCAGCGGAGGAAGTAGGGGGGGCGGCCCCGCCCAAATGAGAGGCCCATTACGCGACCCCTGGGCAGACCGGTAAAAAACGCAGCGCGCGTTCGCGCCGAAGCCGATGAAATGCCGATGCCCCGACGGGCGCAGCGAGTCGCGCCAAAGCGGACCCGCGAAGTCCAGCGCGAAGAGCTCCGCGCCCTCGCCGCCCACCAGGTCGGTCAAGAGCGCGAGGCGGCCCTCTGTGGCGTCAGCACCTCTTGACAACATCGTGCGGCGTGTCTTGCGCGCAGAAATGCCAAGTCTTTCCGCGTCCACGACGGTCCTGCGCTCGGCGCGCCCGTGACAAGACCTCGGCAAGCAACTTGGAGAGGGCCCCTAACCCTGCGGGGGTGGACCTAAGTTAGGAGGGCCAAACACATTTGGGAAAAGGGTGTCTTTTCTGCAGATGTACCGAACCAGACCGTCCAGAATTCTCACCCCCAGTGCAGAAACGGGGGCCCCAGCGAGGCCACGTCTTCATCGTGTTATGAAGGTTAGGGTTTCTGTGGTCTCGATGACCTGGCGAGCGCGCGGAAATCCGAGATCGCGGCGCCCTCGCCCGCGACCGCTGTGAGAACGTCGATGGAGGTTACTTCGCGACGCAGCCTCGGCTCGCAAGCTTCGCGAGCTCCTCCCCGAGGAAGCGCCTGCTGCCGTCATGTGCGAGGCTGTGCACGTGGGCCAGCCCGCCCCGGACTTCGTCGAAGGCGCGACCGCCCCCGCCGCCGCGCGCCCGGCCTGGCTCGGCCGCAGGGAGAAAAGCGCCAGCGCGGCAGGGGTCCACCTCCGCGCCCGCTGCCCGCGCCCGCCCCCGGGCCAATCCCCGGTCGGCGGCCCTGGATGGATCGCAGGCCGCCGCGGCCCAGCAGCTGCAGCCGCGCGGGGCGAGCTCGCGAAGTGCGCGGGCCCTGCGCGACCAGGCCCCTGGTCGCTGCAACTCAGCACGCGCGCCAGCTAGACGCGGGACACCTCCAAGGCAGCATCGAGCGAGCACCCTAGGCGCGCCACTTCGCGCGGCGACCAGCCCTCGGTCAGCGAAAAAAGCGGCGCGCTCGACGTGGGGGGCAGCATCGAGGGTCGCCGAGACCCGGCGAAAGAGGACCTCTCCCAGGATTCGCCGCGCAGCTGAGGCCGCTCGGAAAGGCCGCGCCCTTCCCTTGCCGCTGCGCCTCGGCGCCCGCCTTTGGCCCCTCCCAGCCGGGCCGGCGAGCAAGTGGCCACGGCCCGGGGTGCAGCGGCGCGCGCTGGCGCCGAGGCGGCCGCGCGCGCCGCGGCCTCAGCACGCCGACGCGGCGTCGGCTCGCTGGCCGGCAAAGCCAAGAGCAAGGGTGCCCAATGTAGCCTGCCCCGCGAAGTCGATCGAGCGCGCGCCACCGAGGCGCGCCAACTGCGCGACTTCCAAGAGATTGCGCGCGCCGATGGGGCCAGGCGCGAGCCGGGCGCACGGATGCCCCGCGGCCGCCGCAGCGAGCGCATGGCTCGCGCGATCGGCCTGCAGCGGAGGGCGAGCAGAACGCAAGGCTTGAAGTCCCCCCTGTCTTTGCCCGTCACGCCATATGTGTGTCGGGCGGACCCTCCCCATCGGAAGGGCGCCGGGCCGCGCCTGCCCACGGCTGCCGCGCAAAAATGGACGGCGGCGGGGCCATGAACGCGGCTGCGCATGCCCCAGAGCGAACCCGGGCCAGCAGCTGCTCGAAGACGAGGTCCTCGGCGAGGTTGAACTTCGCGCCGTGTGCCACGTCGAACGCGTCCACCGCGCAGCCCGCCGGCTTTCCGACCGCAGCGTCAACCCCGCCAGGGAACCCCACTCGTCCAGAGATCAGCAGCAGAAATGCCGCGCCCCCTAGTGTCTGCGAAGACGCTGGCACGACGACGGACGCGGCGCCGCTAGGCGCGGCGGCGGCCTGCACGCGCGGCGGCGCCGCCGAGTTCGGCCACGCGGTTTCTACCTGAGGAACGGCCGTCAGGGCGTGGCCGCGCACGGCGTGGCGAGAAGGCGCGGTGGCTGTGCGGGATACAACTGCTCACTGGTGGGCCGCGCTCGGGTCGCGAGAGCTTCCCAGGTTTCCCCGTCTGGCAGTCTTTCCACAAACGCACATTGCTGCGATTGTGCGTGAAGACGCCGTCGGAGACCCCGCGGTGGTTTACCTGCCGGGTGCCTGGCTCGCACATTCGCTGGGGCCGGCGCTTGAGCTCGGGGCGGACTGGGGCTTCGCCAGACAGCGAGCTTCCTGGTGGCCACATGTCTCCACCACCACTATGCCGTGCGTCCTGCGGGACGCGTGGGCGGAAGAGCGCGCGATTGGCGACTCTTCAGAAAATCCACAACAGAGAGAGAGGACGCGGAACGCCCCGCGATTGCGAAGCAGGCAGCTGAGCGCAACGCGACTGTGAATCACGTCTGTTCACATGTCTGCACCGTAGACACTTGCATTATCGAGCGGCCTCGGAACTGATGCAAACGGTAAGGAGCAGCCGGCGGCTCTCCGACCACGTGCCGATGCTGGGAAGCCCGTGGAGCGCGACTGGCTTCACGGCACCGCCCACGTGCACGGTGAACCCCGGCAATCGGGGCGGACGTAAGAACTCGTGGTGAAGCGGGCCCCGCACAGCGAGGTCCACGTAGGCCACAACTTCCACTGCGAGGAGGCTGTGGAGCCCCGTGAGATGTTCCATGGAGTACGCTTCCTCGGGAAGGATACACGCCCGAAGCCGCACTGGAAAACCTTGTAGTGCGCTTTGATCGCATTGCTGCTGAATGGTTTGACGCTCGCAACCGAATTCTGGGCCAAAACCCTGTTCAATGGGACAGGCCCGCCCGTCTGCTGCGCACCTGCCGCGGAGGCTGCCGCCTCTGCCGTGGCGTTGGCCTTCTCGGTGATCCTGACAACACCGCTAAATACAGCCTCGGCCTGCTGAGGTTCCCCCCCCGCGGGGTAAGCTCAGCCTTCGGCGTGACGCTGCAAATCGGGGCCAGAAGACGCATCTTGCCTAGCAAGCCAACCACGATGCGGCGGCTGAGACCAAGAATCCTCCCATAGCCGTGTCGAAGGCGGCCGCACTGACCGTGCCGATGACGCGCGGGTGATCGCCAGGGTTGGTGTCGATCTGGTCGAGTATGGAGTTCATGGCCTCGCCAGGGATGCTGGCCCACTGTGCATCACGACTAAATAATCAATCCCGGTGAGCTGTCCGTTCGAAGGGAAAGCCACCTCGCTCCCATGGCTGCCAATATGCGAAGCGGAGCGCGACTCGCGAAAGACAAAAACTGGCAGAGGGAGCGAAGAGTGCCAGAACCAACACGGTCAGAAAGCCTTCTCCCTCGCCCCTCTCCAACTCCATCTTCACGTTATAACCTGCACAACCCCTGGATGTCCCGTCCAGAACCCGTACCGTGCCCTGGAGCCGTACCAACATGCGATCTGGTAGGCCAAAGGTTATGCGCCGTTGGTGCCGTGCTGTGCCAACCCGTGACCGAAACGCGCTCTGATGGGCCACTGCTGCCGTGCCGTGGTGCGGCGAGGCAGCCCAGGCCAACGATGGCGTTCAGGTTGCCTTTGCAGGTGCGGGGTATGAAAGCTTGCACGCCGGGGCACGCCCACCTCCTCCTCCTCCTCCTCCTCCTCCTCCTCCTCCTCCTCCTCCTCCTCCTTCCTGCTGTCACTCTCTTCCTCACCATGCCCCCCTTCCCCCCTTCCAGAGATCACCCGAGACCCCCGCGCACCGTCGGACCTCCCGCCCTCTTCTCGGGAAGGCGGGCCGCTTGAGACGGCGACGCCCGACCCGCCCGGCTCTCAGATCCGCTCTCAATCCCTGTCCCAAGGGAGGCCGCCGTTGTCTCGACCGTGGACGGCCCGGCCAGGAGGACGAGGAGGAGGAGGAGGCGGAGGAGGACGAAGGGGAGGAGGAGGAGGAGGAGAGGGGGAGGAGGAAGAGGAGGAGAGGAGGAGGAGGAGGAGGAGAGGAGGGAGGAGGAGGAGGAGGAGGAGGAGAGGAGGAGGAGGAGGAGGAGGAGAGGGAGGAGAAGGAGGAGGAGGAGGCCGCCCCCCCCGTGACGGAGCCCGTGGAGGCACAGCACGCGCGGCCGCCGCGGCACCGCGGCGTGCAGCACGGGTGCCGCACGCGGCGAGCGGCCTGGCCGCGTCGGCGGCCGGCGCGGCGCGGGGCGCACGCCGAGTGCCTGGGGTCGCGGGGGGGGAGGCCGCCACGGCGACGGGCGCCCAGATGGGGTCACGGTCACGGGAGGTGCAGAAGAGGCGGCCGTGGGCGCAGAGCAGGCGGGCCCGCCACAGCGGGCACGGCCGAAGCTCAGAGGGCTGCTGGGGCGAGCCCCTCCTCCTCCTCCTCCTCCCTTTCCTCCTCCTCCTCCTCCTCCTCCTCCTCCTCCTCCTCCTCCTCCTCCGCCTCCTCTACCTTGCGGCACTGCCTTGGTTGGGGAACTATAGTCGCTCTGGGCTTGACGGTGGCCGTAGATGATCAGCAACGAAAACAACCCTAATCCTTTCAGGGGGGACCTATGTTGAGGGCCGTTTGCATATGCCACAGACGAAACCACCCACATGTTTAGGAATAACCCTAGAAGCCGAGGACCTGAGTCAGGCCAAGAATTCAGTGTGTTTTTAAGGTTAGGTGCTGCATTCTGCTCAATGAATAGAGGTGCGCATCCCAAGGGCAATGCAACCGCACTAAAAGAGATTAACACATTCAAATGTCGTATCCCCTATTCCTCCTGTCTCTCTCTCTCTCTCTCTCTACTCTCCCTCCTCATCCTTCTACAGCCAAATGCTTCGACATATTGCTGAAATGTTCCACTCGGTTGCCACCCGCGCAACCTCGAGAGTGCCGACGCGTCCTTCTGGATGCATAGCCTTTCCTTGCTGCCTCGCTTCCTGCTGGTCATCCGCGCGCCCCCCCCAAGCCTCTGCCGCCGTGGTGAGCCGAGCCAGGCCCCACCTGCCCGCCGCCCCCGTGTGGGTTGGCGGCGGGGGCGGGCCGCGGGCGGCGGCGGTGGCGGGCCCTGGGAGGATGGGAGCCGACAGCAAAAGCGGAGTCGGACGGGAGCGTGGCAAACAAGGAGGCGCTCCGATCGATCGAGGGAGCGACTGAAGAATCCCCGTGGAACACCGCCAAGGGCACCCAAAGAAGGAGGGAAGATTGACGCCGGCCCGCCAACAAGGAAGGAGAGGCGAAGGGAGGTGGGGGGTTGCCCCCTGGACAGGTTGCGAGTTGGGCACATGTGAAACTCACGAGTGGGGTAAGGCTAGTCGGCTTGGGTGCACCAGTGAGCACGACCGCCAGAATGCGATCACCCGCGCAGGGGCGCGCAGCGCAACTGGACCCAGGAGAGGGAGGGTCGGGGGGGGGTGGGGACACAGCAAGCACCGAGGACACGACATCCAACGAACGATGAGCCGCACGAGTGCTGACCGAGCGCCGATCCTACCAGGGGCAGCGAAGCGAATGCTCAGCCGCGAGCGGGCGAGACTCGGGCGTTGCACCCGGCGGCCTGGGGAATCACCCTGGAGACACCCCCGACGAGGAATGCCCAGGACGGGGCCAACCTTGGGCCCAACGGTCGACGGCCAGCGGAAGGCATGCCGACCTCCAACATTGGGCCCGGCATGGAGCCGGAAGTCGAGTCGGGCTCCGGAGGGCCAGCAGCGCCCTGGATGGGGGCTCCAGGGAACCAGATCTTGCTCTCGCTCGCAAGGCCACGCGCGGGCCAACCCTCGCCAGCAACTTCGCGAGCCGCCGAGACAGAGCCCAGGATCCGCAGGCATCCCCAGGCCAT